GGCCGAGTCCGTCAGTCATATATGTTAGTACATAATGGACTTGAATGTATACAACTGTCGAACAGGGCCAAATACAATCACATCAAGGGGTAAGTGGATGGGCGATGTCGAAGGGTGACTCCAAGAAACAAACAATAGTGGATGGGCGATGTTGAAGGGTGACTCCAAGAAACAAGCAATTAACTTGCTTGCTGTGCAGATCGATGTGAAGTGGAGGGGCATTGTGCAAGGGTGATTCCAAGAACGCGACCTGCCCGAATGACTTTCTTGACTTCTTCGGCCTATCTTGCGATTCGCTCCACTACTCGCAACATGGGAAAAAGAGAAATACAGGACATGGAAAAAAGAAAAATAATGGCCATGTATCTTTCACTGTTCTAGTGGAAGATTCATTCTCATTTTGCACAATTCGTGAGTAGTGAAGGGAGGCCCACTGTGACGCGGCACTAACTGGTACGGAAATTGGGCATAACGGCGGGGAAGGCCCCCCTACTGGTACCGGTTCGACACTGCGGAATAGAACGCCCGGGCGTTCTATACTTTTCTTTTTTCCAAGGTCCCCCTATCCAAAAAGTTAGTCATTCTCTTCACAATACAACGCCCGGGCGTTGTAAACGAATATTACGCCCGTAGGGCTTTATATTCGTACATAACGCCCAGACGTTATTTTCGGGTGAAGACGGTAGTTGTTTTTTTGTCTTTTTATTTTTTTCCTTCTTCTCTTCCTTGCATTTTTTTTCATTTCTGTACAATACCAAAAAACAAAATACAATGAGACACAGGCTCGACAAAACTCGGTGCGCAGTGAAATTCAGAGTCGATAAAAACAACATCAGAAGTTGTGGTGCTTTAATGCTATAATATCTCCTTAGACCTACAACTGTATCATGCTTTTTGTCAGACAATGATTTGATATTATTTTCTACTTTTATATTTCCCGTTTTCTTCAGTATCACATCATAATAAGTCCTAACAGACACCAGACCCACTTCCCAGTTATTGCAAAAAAAAAAAAAAAAAAAAAAAAACGCGGCGTTATCCACCTCTAACCACCGCGCAAGAGCAAGAAAGGTGAAAGCAGCACGAGCCGCGATGGTCTCTGAACCTCACTGGTATATTATGTGCAACCTGAATGGAGTGAGCGTGACATCCATCAGATGCATGCTACCCGGAACAGATAAATCGCCAACAGAGCTTGACTAGAGACTAGGGCGGCCATTTGCCTGGAATGTCGCACCATGTTATTCCAATTTGGATCTGACAGTGATTGCCTTCAGATTCGTTCAAAGACACAATCCCCAATCGCATTTTCCAATTTCAAAGAGAACACGACCTTTTATCAACCCTCTTTCGCGATCAGAATTTTTGAACTCTTTCTTAGCTCGTATTTTCCTGTGCCTAAACTCAAATTCAACTACTACAATCTCCTCCACCCTGGTTGCGCCCCCGCACCCCGCGCGGTTACAGTATATCTTACTTAGGGCCTCGTTCGACACCACTTGAAAATACTTGAGTTTCAAGGGCACCCTAACTCACGGAAGGTGATTAATTTCCCCTAACTTGTTTTTTCGTTCCACAGCCCCTTGACGAAACCCTTGAGACGGCCGTCCTTCAAACTGAAGTGCTGACGTCATTGCACCACGAACAGTGGTGATTGGTGGAAAAAAAAAGAAGACAAGAAAAAGGTCCGTACATTACTCGTTTTGAAGGGTGAAACCCTTGTGCCCCAAGTGACCTCCGGAGGCTCCCTTTCGATTTCGGTCGATTTGCCTGGGCCGCACTTTCGTTTCAAGGGCGGACACTTGGCCGCGGGGATGTGGAAACAATTAGCGACTTCAAGGGTGCGTGATTAGGGCGGGGTCGAACGATGCTTCGTTGAAAAATAGCAATTTCCAAGTGGTGTCGAACGAGATCCTTAGCATAGATCGGCATTTGGGGTATATCTATAACTTAGCGGTACTAACGGCGGCGGACCGTGAATACGAACAATTTTCGCATGCAGGTTGAGGCTTGAGCGTTTTCCCGCCGGGTACAGGGCATCCCCCTAAAAATCAAAAGTGAAAATAATCGTCTTCCCGCAGAAAATCAGATAACGGAGATATGCGCCAAGTTCCCAGGATTTGTCAATTTGTCGGTCGGCAGATTCGCGAAGCAGAAATCGAGGATGGCCATGGTAGAGCCCGTGAACCGGGGAGGTGCTGGCTCTGGTGGGGTCTGTCTTACGTTACGCCGGTTACGGCGACGCGACCGCTGTCGATGAAGCACGGCGATGGCGACGACCGGTCCTACGCTTTGTCGAGGTTGGATGTTGCCGGTGACCGTTGTCACGGCTCGGTCGCAATGTGGCGACCGTTGTCACGGTCGTGCATGGCGGTTTGTTTCGGCAGAAGCGGCTGCTGCTGCTGCTGCCGGGTGGTGGTCACGTGCCGGTCACCGACCGGTCACGTCGGGCGGAGGCCAAGCCAGCCAATCAGTAGCCATGGTGACGGCTTCGACGCACACGTGTGCAAAGCAGCTTTTGCAACGTGGAGGTGGAGATGCCACGTGTTCCTTGGTGGTGCTCAATAACTTCGCCGTTGCGTGGACGGAGACGCGACGCCTGAGCCGTAACCGATCAGCAGCAGGATGGGCGAGGAGGAGTGGCGGCGCCTTGAATTTGAATTTGAATTTGAATTTGAATGTGCTCGGCGGCAGCTTGCCGCCCGTCTTTGGGCAGCGGTGCAAATGCGCGGCGGCGGCGGCGGCGCATTCGCGCAGCGGTAGGTTGGAGAGAGGACACCCGCTGGGGCATTATGAGGCTTGCTCTTCTTGCGCTTCTTGCTCTTCTTTCGGGAGCCGACAGATCGGAAGCCATTTACAGGTCAACGGTTACGACGTTGACTTGTCAGGAGTCAACTGTAATCAACAGGCTTTTTCTTCTTCCAGAGAGAATATGCGGTGGCGGTTCGGTCATCAGTTAGGACGGCGCGGCGGCGGCCGGTGTCACTTTGCAGAGGCGATGGCTATGGGGGCGCGATGTGCGACGCGACGCCGTCGTGGTTTGTGTTGTGACAATTCGGTCGCCGGCGCTCGTGGGTGGTCGCCTACCAGCCAGGGGCTCACACGACGACCATTGGGAACGCCGACACCAGTTTGTGAGTGTTGTGATGTGCGCATCTTGAACAGTGATGAATTGGGCGAAGGGAAAATCTATGGGAACGGGAATGGTGATGAAGGGAGGCGATGGCAAGAGTGTCAGCGACGGGTACGAAGGAGGCGATGGCGGACGAGCACTACTGCGAGGGTGAAGATAGGTCGTCGTTCAAATCCGCGACCATGCAGGGGAATAGGCGTAGGAGGAGGAGGAGGAGGAGGAGGAGGAGGAGGAGAAGGAGAAGGGACTGCCGCTCTCGGCGATAGGTATATTGACACCATCAGGGCACGGATGCATAGAGTACACGCGGGCAAAAGTGTGGGTGTATTTGAGAATCGTTCCATGGCCGGCTATCACAGACGGTGGAGGGCAGCAGGAGCGAGCTTAGAGCGGCGGCGATGGCGAGATTGGGTAGGTAATATTTGGAGATGGGAGATTTCGCCGGGAGTCAGGAACGCACCAGGGCAACAGGCGCAGACACAGATCCGGTGTCTTCCTCGGCCTTCTGACAGCAGCGGATTTGAGGAGGCAGTGCCAGTCAGAGGGGAAGGAGGAGGAGGAGAAGGAGGAGGAGGGGGAGGAGCAGGAGGAGAGGAGGGTGATGCGGGCAATGCAGTGCAGGGATGGGGTGATGCTGCTGCCGATAAGGACCAGGCGTCGTTTAACCTCTCCTCCTCTACCTCCTCCTCCGCCTCCTCCTCCTCCTTCTCCCACTCCTCCTTCTCCCCGCCCTCCTTCTCCCCGTCCTCCTTCTCCCCGTCCTCCTTCTCCCCGTCCTCCTCTTCTTCCTCCCATTCGTCAGATTCTTACCGCAACGGAAAAGAGGAAGAAGATCTTGAGGGATGGGATTGTAATGATGTGAAGAAGGCGAAGTCGATGGAGGTCTCGAGTGCATCTTCGGCGTCTTCTTCGGGTTCTGATGATGGTTATGAGAGGGAGCAGGAAGTTGAGGATGAGGAGGAGAAGCGATTGGGTAAACACCTTGATGATGCGGAAAAAAGGAGGCAATCATCGGAGATGGGGAGCGCATTGCCGCCGCCGTCGCCTTTCAGTGCTTTCGCCGATGTCTGGCGAGAGCAAGCGGAAGCGGACGGCGGAGCCGCGGAAGAGGAGACGGACAGGGAGAAGAGAGGTGATAGTGACAACGAGGGACTCCTAAGTGGGTGGGATGGCTTATTCCCTCCACCAGATCTTCTGCGGGTCGGAGGAGGAGGAGGAGGAGGCCGATCAGCCGTGAAGGCGGCAGCGGACGCAGTAGCAGGTGAAGAAGAGAATCAGTTTGTCATTCCCATCCTGCCACTGGGCAAAGTTAAGTTCCCTACGGAGCCGATTCCCTTGCAATTATTTGAGCCACGTTATCGGTTCATGTTTAAAATGATTAATCTGTCCAAATCCAAACGATTCGGTGTGGTATGGGCCGACCGGTCGTCCGCTACGATGGAATCGGTCGGCGTGTTGTGCCATCTGACCCAGTTCTATCGTGTCCCTCAAAACGGGAGGATCTTGGTCAACGCCTTGGCAGTTTGTCGGTTTCGGGTTAAGGCGGTAATCTTCGACAAACCGTTCATTACTGCTGAGGTGGTCCCCACCTATGACACGGACGGTGATGGATTGGCTGAGATGGCGGAGACAGCGGTGGTAGAGAGGAGGGTGTGGCAGTGTATGCAAGATGTGAGGCGTTTAGCGGGAAAACTGTACGGACATTTGGGGTCGTTAGCGCGGGAAGAGGTGTTCAGCCAAGAAGTGCTGACGTGGCGACCGGCGACGGAGGAAGACGAAGATGATGGTGAGAGTTTGGGGAAGGAGGGAGAGAGAGAGAGAGAGATAGAAGGAGGGGGATGGAGGAGGAGGAGCAAGAGGGTGATGGATCATGAAGGACGGTGGGTGAATGAGCGAAGAAGGAGCGAATGGTTCTCGTTCGCCGTCGCCAGGAGTTTGATAGATATACCTCTGGACCAACAACAATCGTTGCTGGATATGACTAGCACTAGAGATCGGCTCCGTGCCTGCGAGGAAGTGCTATCGGACGGCTGCAAGTATCTCGCTGCCAGATCATCGTTGATGGACATCTTTAGTCGATAATAATCACGAAAAAATCGGAAAAACACTTAAAAAAAAAGTAAAAATAAATAAATTAATTAATACAAGTAAGATGGGAGCATCTAATTCTCACTAATTGGTGTCTAATCAATCAATCAATCAATCAATCAATCAATCAATCAAGCAATCAATCAAACGACTGCTAACACTTGCTTTTATACTCAAGAGAAAGAAAAATAAATAAATATAAAGTAGGAGGTACTTTTTTTTCTCCTTTTTTCACTTGGAGCTCAACACCCACCTCCCCCTACCTTCTCCCCGTTCCCTCCCCCCCCCCCCCCCCCCCCGCCGAAAGCGCTCCGTCAAGAACAAAAAAGATGCGTATTGTAAGGGGAAAGGTGAAGAGGCCCTCAAAAAAAAAAGAAAAGAAAAGAAAGTTGAAGAGGAAAATGCCAAACCCCCGACTGGCTGCGTCTTTGGTCTATCGCCTCCGTTTTGCCCTCGATCGCCGTCTTCCCGCGAAGAGAACGCACGGCAATTACAGCTGTATTTGGGACAATTTTCAGTCTAGATACGGCGATAATGGTCGTACAGTTTATTTGGGGGAAGACAGTAGACGGCGGTAGGGATTATACGGTCAGATATGCGTTCTATTGGGGAGACGACGGGCTGCGCGCAATTTCCCTCCCCTCCCCTCCCTTCCCCTCCCTCCCCCCGCTTAACCTGCTTGCCAGATTCGCTCTCGACGGACTCTGCAAGATCTTCCATAAGCGGCAGGCTGCGCAAAGGCTCGGCTTTGGATGGAAAAAAAGGGAAAAAAGTGATGACCTCCCCTCACATAGGGATCACCATAGCTATAGCTATTGCCATGGTCATTCCTCGACGACGGTGGTAATGCCGCTCTCGCCATAGCCATTGCTATAGCCAAAGCCATCTCCGTGATCGCCATAGCTATAGCTATAGCCATGGCCATGTCCATGACTGTCGTTCACGCTGTGGGAACGACGAATCAAGAGATTCATTGCCATGGCTGCCCAATTGCCAAAGCTACCCTCACTCTTCATCTACATTTTTTTGTGCCTCTCTCTCTCTCTCTCTCTCTCTCCCTCTCTCTCTCTGTGATGGCCGTAACGACGGTCATCTCCATCCCGGGAGCCATAAAATGGTGATTCTATCTATAACTGCCCGCCATAATCACCTCCATCTCTATCTCCATCTCATCTCCATCTCTCTCTCTCTCTCTCTCTGTGTGATGGCCATGATCACTTCCATCTCTGTCGTGATAAATTCATGGTTGTTCTTTTGGGATCGTGGTTCTCGTTGTGATAGCAAGAGCCATGATAATCCAGATTGCCATTTTGACAAGGACCTTATGAGGTCAGGTTCTCTCTCTCTCTCTCACGCTCTCTCTCCCTCTGTGTTCTCTCTCTCTCTCTCTCTCTCTTTGTGCTGCCATAGCTATGGCCGGTTCCCTCACTATGCTCGTCTTCATCACCCTTATGTCGTCTTTCTCGCTGCCATTGATTGCCATGTACCTGGACACTTCCATTTTTTTTTAGGGGCAATAGCTAGCATTAATTCTCTTGAGTTTTTGGTCGTGTCTCGGTTCGTGGCAACCGCTGTCCATATCCCATTACACATAATTGATCCTTGCTTCCCGCCATAATTGATTGGCTCCTTGCTTCCCGCCATAATTGATTGGCTCCTTGCTTCCCGCCACAATTGATTGGCTCCTT